TTTATTATCTATTATTCTTTAAATATATTTTTATAAAAACATATTTAAATAAAAGCCTTACCAACATATTGAAAGATAATTATTTTTTAAAAAATAGGGTTTTACTAACATATTAAAAAATTTTATAGTCTATTTTTTTTATTTCAAAAAAATAAAAATAAAAAGTCTTATCAACATATTGGATGGCTAATATTTTATTTTCAAAATAAGGTTTTACCAACATATTTGAAAGCCTCATAATTTAAAAAAAAAAATCAAGTTTTACAAAAACAATAATCAAATAATATTTCTTATCTTTTTGCATAAAATTCTACTAACATATTGGAAGATAATTTTCAATAATAAGTCTTACCAACAAATTGAAAGACATTTTTTACTATAAACTCAATTTATAAATATTTAAATTTGGAAATGAAATTAAGTAAATTCGATAATAAGGCATTTTCAAAACGTGACAAATAGTCTCACTCCTGAGGTGAGAAAATACTCTTAAATTATTACCAACATATTGGAGTAATTTAAGAAACATTTTTAATATTAAATTATTTAGTAAATTTTAAATATGTTTTAAAGCTTAAATAACTCGAAAGATTGGTATCATTTTTTAGATAGATGCTTTGAGGGTGTTATAATGTTTCTCATATATAACCGTACTCTCATACCTAAATTTTAGTTTTGTGTGCTAGAATTTACTATTTAAAGTATCTAAGTTAATTGTGAGACTTCTCTTTAAATATGACAGATTTTGTTAGGTAACCAATCACATCTAAACAAAAAAATTGGTGACGACTCTTTTAGTCTATGTCTAATGATAGATCCATGAATCTATAGTTATGACACATACAATTAAATCAAACACTCATAACTAATACCTATAGACCCTTTCAATCTCCTCTAATCTTATGAAGTATCCTCAATCTAAACAAATATATACTCATATGTATCTTTTTAACATAAATAAACACATATCTATATGCACCAACGTATCATACCTATGTAGATCATTTCTATCTCTTCTAGTCCATTCACAAACATTTAAACATACACATTTATAAGAAGTAAATCTGTAATACTCCTATTGAGTGTCTATCCTATGAAACCCTACAACTCTTTTACATTTTTTTCTCATACATAATCCTATAAAGACTTTATCTATTTATGAGCATATAAACTTGCCTATCAAGAATCTATTTTCTCTTAAAATTTTTCTCTTGCAAGTCTTCTTATCAATTAAGTAATATCTAGTCAATCTCAAATAAATATCTTATTATATTTGAGTCACTATTTTCAACCCTTATCACATGCAGCACATGCACTTGAACAAATTATGATGCTATATTTTGATTTGTCCAATGGAATACATAAGTACTAGTATCAGCTTGTTAAGAATAATGACTCAAATTTCATAAAAAATTTGTATGAGATTAATTAAATATTACTTGATAGAAAATAAAACTTGAAAAAAAAATTTATGAAAAAAGAGATTTTTGATAGAAAAATTAATATACTTATAAATTGTGAAAATCTCAATAAAGTTATATATGAAAGAAAAATGTAAAAGAAATGTAAAATTTTTATCAAATAACACATCATAAGACTATAAAAAATTAAAGAGATCCTTATGTTATATATGTTTGAATGTTTATAACAGATTAAAAGAGAACAAAAAAATTCACATAAGTATGATAATTGCTTTATTTGTTTGAGTAAATTTGAATGTTTGTAGTAGATTAAAAGAAAATGAGGGAGTCCACATATATTTATATGATGATTGTTATGTTTATTCGAGTAAATTAAAAAAAATTGAAATGATTCACATAATCATATAGGTATATATATATTTTGATTAAAAATATTTTATATAATTATAAAAAAAATTCATGATTATGATTGATTGATTTAATGATATATTTATAATTTTTTACTATTAATAAATTTTTTTATTCATAAATATAAGTCACTTTAAGATAAACTAAACCATAAATTGTTATCTCTGATTCCGATATGAATATTTTATAATTTAATTTTAGTTCAGCTAACTTAAATGATTAGTTAATTTAAAGCTCTTTTTTTTTAACAACTAAACCGTTGTGATTCTAACACGCTTACACATTAATGCTTTTAGCGTACGTAAATGCACATCCTGGAAGAATCTGCTCTGACACGGCAGTCAGAACCCTAGGACCCCAGCTGCAGCTACCATCAGATTAGGCCTCCTTTGATTTAAGCCCGTTAAGCAGTCTTGGGCCAAGAGTTTCAGTTTGGGAAAGCATTAGGCATAACCCATTGCTTCTTTATCTTGGATTAATATACCTATATCGTAATGTCCAATTAAAAACTTTAATTTGGGCTCAAATTAGTCCTTCTGAAACAAAATCTAAGGATGGACGTACAACATGCAAAACATGTTACCTTCATTGCCATGTGCTTGACTGCTTGTTCCCGCTGGGGTCCAATGGAATTTGGAATTTATTTGAGAGGATATATGTCTGTTCAAGAAAAGTCATTTAATCATTATGCAAAATTACTTTATCCATTGTCTTATTCGGAATTAGATTTTAAGATTTTGTTTTAATATAAATTATCTTTAAGAAAATTTTTATCCAATATGTTAAAAAATATATATTCATTTCAGCCCAAAATTTTACCTTAAAATGTTGCAAACTATGTCGATTTTTTTAACACTTACAATACTTACTTATTTTTTTCATATTTTATACTATTATTTTTAATACTTGTATCCAATGTAATCAAAATTATATAAAAATTTATCAAAATTATATTAATGATTATCAAAATATGATTTTGATATAATTATGATAACTTTTACTATAATTTTGGTAATATTTGATATGATTTTAATAATATTTTATATAATTTTGATGATATTTAATATGATTTTGATAATAATTTGTACCACTTCGATTCAAATTCCGACTGCAACTATTAAAAAATTACTTGGGTGCCTTATGTTTCAAAAAGAGTCCCCACTTGTACTATATGTACTGACTGTCTGCCTCAATGCTCGCTGACTTACTGGCCAATTTACTAAGTTTCAAGTTTATGATATAATTTTAATAATTTTGATAATTTTGGTATAACTATAATAAATTTTGATGTAATTTTATTAATAGTTATATATATAATTTGGTAATATTTAATATAATTAAAGATAAAATATCAATATATATGGATCACTATTAGGACTTTTAAATTTTGTACTTTTATATAGACATACAAAATAAAAATAAAAATAATATAGATGTAGATAATTATTAAATGAAATATATTTATAAATTTAAGTTAATTTAATTTATTTATATAATTATTTTTTAAAAATAATATTTAATAGTAGATTCGAAGTTTTAATACCGGTATTTATAATTTTTTTGCAATAAAATAAAATAAATGTATTTAAAAATAAAATATATCTAACATATATCATATTATAACATACAATGTTACATGATCAAAATTACTTATGTAGATGTCTAGGTAGATAATCTCTTTTAATGACATATAGGATAATATTTATATTATTTTATTTATCAAATAAAATTTTTTAATAAATTATTTAAATTGAATATTTTAGATAATTATTTAAATTGAAATCAAAATCTATATAAGATTGAATTTTTTGTATAAGATTTGAATTCAAATTTATTAAATCATAATTTATCTTTTATTTTTAAGTTTAATGGCAGTTCCAAATATACATACTTAATAGAATTTTATTTTTTGTCAAATAATTCTATTTAATAAATTATTTAAATTTAATATTTATAGATGATTATTTAAATTCAAATCAAAATTTATCAAAAATTAAAAATTATTTAATAGATTATTTAAATTTAATATTTTTAGTTAAATTAATGAATTATTGACTATAAAGTATGTATTTTTAAAGTAATAAAAGCTTACATCTTTTGTGAAAATATAAGACATTTGAATGTTGATAAAAAAGTTAAATAAAAATATGTTTTTGCTTTGAAAAAAAATATAATGTTTTATTTATATTTTAATTCAAATATTTTTATATTGTATATTTGGTTAATTTATTTGTTTCTCTTTAGTCCATAATTTTTTAAATTTTGCTTAGATTGATTATAATTAAATTTTTGTATTATATATTTTTTTATTTTTTTTCATTTCTTCAATGTTTTTATTCTCTATTAATTTATTAACATATTTGCTTTTATTATTGTATATATTTAATCTTGACAAATTAATATATAAATTTATATTCTCTATTTCTTTTTGCTATACTTTTTATTATTGAATTTCTTTGTCTATAATGGATGATATGAGAAGAATGATGATCACTACTAAATCTAACTCACAAAAAATACTATCAATTATGTTATAATGCTTAACAATAAAAAAATTTTCAAAATTTTTTTTAAGTATAACATAAAAAATTATTGTTTCCTTTTATCTAAACAATAATTTTATTTTGTTGACATATATAGAAATAATTATTAGCCCAATATATTTGTGTAATAATTACTTGAAGTATGTCAAAAATAAGAACAAATAAAAAGTAAATGATTATGATTTGTTGTTCAATCAAATATATATATACACGCCTAATCTACATTATGATGAAAACAATTATTAATTTTAACTATTTAAATATTGATTCTTGATTTTTTATCAAACAAGAAAAAAGTGGTAGCAAAATTTTTAGTATTTAGCAAATAAATTATAGAAAATATGTTTTAATGAAAATTTTTTTTCTAATTCTCGAAAATTTACAAAAATTTAGATTTATTTTAGATGAACAATATCATTTATAATATATTATGTATAATTTATTATTTAATTGTAATTTAACATTTATAAATATATTATTATATATTAGATAAATAATTAGAAAATAAATTTAAATTTATGAAAATTTAATTTAAAAAATCCCGTACATTGTACGGGTTAAAAGGCTAGTTTTATATATATATATATATATATATTTATTTATTTATATTAGCAGCGTATCTATACACACCGTATCTCGTATCTCAGGTGCCGATAAATAAGTTGGGCTCAGGAGCCTTGCCCATGTACCACTCGTCACCAGGGTGCCTTATCTTCCTCTCTTACTCTTTCCTCACCATTGACGTGTGCATCTACTATATCCATGGCGTTGAAGGAGGGCAAAGAGGAAATCCATGTACTCATGGTGACATTACCAGCCCAGGGTCACATCAACCCCATGCTTAGACTGGGCAAGCGCCTGGTTGATAAAGGCCTTGACGTCACGCTTGCCACCACCCAATTTGGTGGCCACCGTATGCTCAAAGCCTCCACTATCAGCACCATCACCGACACCTTCATCTCTGGGATTCGACTTCTCTTTTTCCCTGACGGATTTAGCCTAGACTATGACCGCCACACCAATTTAGACCACTACATGGAATCCCTAGCCAAAACTGGACCAGCTAACGTCTCAAATCTTATTCAAGAATACTATCACGACACTCGCAAGAAACTCTCTTGCATCATTAGCAATCCGTTCGTTTCATGGGTAGTCGATGCAGCCTTGGAGAATAAAATCCCTTGCGCCATGCTTTGGATCCAACCCTGTTCACTCTACGCTATTTACTACCGTTTTTACAACAAGTTAAATCCATTTCCTACCTTAACAAACCCTGACATGCGTATTGAGTTGCCAGGCTTGCCTTTGTTGCACACCGAAGACTTGCCTTCGTTTGTTCTTCCATCAAACCCCTTCGGAAGTTTCCCTAGGTTATTATCCGATATGTTTCAAAACATGAAGAGATATAAATGGGTATTGGCCAATTCATTCTTTGAGCTGGAGAAAGAAGCCATTGACTCCATGGCTGAGCTCTGTCCAATACGACCAATTGGTCCACTGGTGCCTCCATCACTACTTGGTGAAGACCAAAGTCTTTATGCTGGTATCGAGTTGTGGAAACCAGACGAAACTTCCTTAGAGTGGCTAAAAAACCAACCAACTGCTTCAGTTATATACGTATCCTTTGGTAGCTTAGCAGTCTTGTCAGCCAAACTAATGGAGGCTATAGCAACTGCTCTCAAGAACGCCAACCACCCTTTTTTATGGGTGGTGAAACCACCTGAACTTCCATCAGCTGATGGTGCAGGCGAGTTGCCCCTTGGGTTCGAAGAAGAAACCAAAAACCAAGGGCTTATCGTCCCATGGAGTCCACAAACAAAAGTTTTAACCCACCCATCAATCGCATGTTTTATAACGCACTGTGGATGGAATTCCTTGTTAGAAACATTCGTAGCAGGCGTGCCAGTGATTGCGTATCCACAATGGTCCGACCAGCCAACAAATGCCAAACTTATTGTCGACGTCCTCAAGGTTGGTCTAAGACTCAAGCCTGGCCCTGAGGGAGTAATTAGCAATGAAGAATTAGAGAAATGTATAAAACAAATTCTTAGCTGGCCGGAATCGGAAGAGTTCAAGAAAAATGCTGCAAAATGGAAGCAGGCAGCCCGTGAGGCAGTGGCCTGCGGGGGCTCCTCAGATCGGAATATTCAGCTGTTTGTGGATGAAATTGTTGGGAGTTCTTGAAGTGGTCCCTCGAAGATAATTATGATGTTTTCATGAAGAAGCGATATATGCACGACCTTCTGCCTTGTAATTTGATTGTTCTGCTTCGAATGTAATGTTTCAATTAATTATTAAAAGATGCAAGACAGTGATATTGTGTCAATTTTATATATCAATTAAGAGTATGTTGCCATTTTTTTTTTGTTGGTGAAATTATGTCTAAAAATTGTTACAAACATTGCATGACAAGTCGATGGTAGGCAAGCTCGTGTCTCTTTATGGTTCAACGAATAAAACTCATCCAATACGAAGTTTTGTAAAGTATGTATGACTTTCCAATCAAAGTATCGATGCAATTTTAGTGTCACTTTATTGATGTCATTTAGTAGTTCAAATTGCAAGGAATCTAGCTATGGCACCGATGTGTTGTTCATTAAATTGCATGGACTCTTGTTACAACACCGATGTGACTTATTTATTTTGTAATTCCACATGCACGAAGGCCCCCCTTCCTTTTTTTCTTTCTCAATATTTGGACTTAGATAATTAACTAACTACAATAGTTATAGTTATTTGACTATGTACATTTCTTAAAAACACATAATTTTTTTTACTTAAAAAAAATCATACTATCTACCATAAAATTTTCGCATCATTTACAAAATATCTTTTGACCTTAAGAAGTGTTTTGAATGTGTATAGTCATCCCTTTTGAAAATTTAAGAGTAGATGATATGATTTTTTTAAATTAAAAAATATTATTTATTTTTAAGAAGTGTATATAACATATTTCTTTTTTTAATATTGGGGTGGCATTACAATTGCTTGTACTCAAACCCTAATCTTATAATATATCACAATTACTTCTTTAATCACTACATCAATTGTTGGCAACATTTCTGCTTTGTTTTGTATCCAATTATGACAACTTCGAGTAGTACATATGCATGTAATAGTAAAATCTCAAGTGGACATTTTTTGCATCATGGTGCCACCACAAAATCAATAAATTTATTTGTTCATATTAAATATAACATCATCTGCATTGATTTTTTTTTTTGAACCACTTCAGCATGTGCTCAAATTTCTTAAAACGATAAGAAAAAGATTTTACTAATGAGTATCCTATGAATAATTTCTTAAAATTAATTAATATATTATTTATAATAATATATATTTGCATTAAATGAAATAATTGAAAATTAATTTAATAATTTTAAATGCATTGAAGTAATATATATTAATTATAATAGTTTTATTGACCTTAAGATTGGAGTAACCATTGAATTTGGTATCTTTGTATAATTCATTAACTTAAAATTATAAAACAGAAGGCAACACGTAAACTTAACTTTTGTTTTTGTTTGTTTCAGCGTTGATTCAAACTCTCAGTCTCTTTCCTCACGACACACTAACATGAAGCATGCGCTCATTCAATACGTAAGCTAGCAAGCTATGGGGTTGTCCCGACTATAACATGTCGATGGATGGACGTGGGGGGGACGGGGGGTGTTTGGTTTTTGTGGCCTTGAATTATGGATATATAGATAAAAAACCGATAGTAGCTGTTTGAGGTGAATATCTTTTGTATTTCGATTTTTTTGTCCTAATTTCTTACATTCAGACACCAATGGTCCTTGAATTTGTCTTTAATGATATGTTTCGTTTCGACTCGCTTTCTCATTAGTGGATGAACCTAAAGTTGAATGTTTTATTATTGTCTTTTTTTGTGAAATTATTTATTTTGTTCAATTTCATTTTCGCTTGTTTTCATGTCGATTGATCGACGTTCAATCAAACAAACAAATTTGTTTTGTATGAATTATTTATTTGTTCAATTTCACTTTTTCTTGTTTGATTATGATTGATTGACGTTCTATCAAATAAACAAAATGGTTAAGCTGATGATCAAATTTAATTGGCACTAGAAAATATCCACTTTCGCACGTTTTTTTTTTATATATAAATTTTATTCATTATATTTTTTTATAAAATTTATTGAATTAAAAAAATTAACAAGAAAAGAAAAAATTTAAAAGAAAATGACTTGTAAAAACCTTAATTGATATCATTTTTTCATAAAATTTATTTAATAAAAAATAAATATCAAAAATTAAAAAATTAAAATAATAATGATAAAAAAGCTCATTGATGGTGTCAAACATCCCATGTTAAGTTTAAAATATTAATTTTTTAAATTAAATTAAAAATAAATTTATTAATATAATACATAAATATGTATAAAATTAAACAAATAATAAAATATATACTTATATATATATGTATATATATATATATCTCAAAACGGATCAATACAAGCACCTTAAATATACTTCTTATCGGAAACAATTTTTTTGTTTTAATTTAATCCATCTCAAAATATATTTTTTGAAAATAAAATGATTAAATATTCACTCGACCTATCATTAATTAAAATATTATAAATATTTTTAAAAAAATTAAAAATTAATAAAAAAAGATTAAAAGGAAGAGAATAACTTAACACATGACATATACTTACTATTAAGTTGGCGAGATAAAAAAATTTAAAATCTTAAAAATTATTTATTAAATATATAAAATAGAAAATAAAAAAAAGTGACATACTCCTATTATCAAATAGGTTTCATAAAAAATAATCTTAAATCTTAAAAATAAAAAGTAAAAAATAAAAAAAAAAGGCTTGGTAAAAGTGGGTATCACTTTTAAAAATATAAAATTGATAAAAAATATTTTTAAATATACAATAATAAAAAAATATTTTAAAAAAAAGCAAAAAAACTGACAATTAGCATAAATTTTGGTCATGTATTGATTAGCCGTATACGACCCAAATTTATGTGTAGGATTTCAAGTAAGAAAATGAAATGAATTGTCAATTTCATTATTTTTTAAAAATTTTAATTCATCTTTAACCCTCAATCACTATCTAGTTAACTTATATATGATAAGGACATTATGCATCAAAATTTTTGTTTATTAATAACTTTTGATTAACATGCATATCATTTAAATTAATACTTAATTATTAATTTAAATTATTCAAATTGCTTACCTGGATATATTAAGATGCATCATAGATTAGGATATATTGAATATTGAATCGCATGGCTTCGCATGATTTGATAATTAAACCATCTTCTATATTTAGTACTAAGATTTGTGAATGTTATATTCAAGTAAAGATAACAAATTTTTCTTTTAAATCAGTCTTCAAAATTAGCTTTTTTTTTTTTTATAATTGATTCATACTAATTTATGTGATAACAATGATGCTTTAATTAGAAATGAAAAAAAAAATGTTATTTCATTACTTTCATTGATATAGTTTTTAATTTTATTTATGTTTATTTTATTTAAGACTAAAGATAAAACTTTTGAAAAATTCAAAATTTTTAAAGAAGAAATGTAAATTTAGACTAATAAAATTAAAAGATTAATATCATATAAGAATGGTGATGTTTCTCAAACAGAGGTTTTTTTGTATTCTGTCAAATTCGTGCTTGAAATTATATTTTTAAAATAAAAATTTAAATATTATATTTAATAATTTAAAATAAATAATTATAAATTATATTTTTAAAATAATTTTAACAAATAATTATTAATAAAATTTGAATAAAAAATTTTTCATAAAAAACTATAAATTTTAACCAATTAAACTAATTATTTATTAGTACATCATCACGTCATTGTCTTTCATTTTTGAATCCTTTCCTACCAGTCATGTACGTAACCTTACTGAATTAGAGTAAACTTACAAAATTGCAAATTTGAAATTTTGGAACAACATTGAATCTGATCCAACATTTAGCTAGCTTGCTGCCGTATACTAATTCGTTTCCAAAACCGGTTTTTTTCATCGAGAACCTTCTTTGTTTGTTCTTTTTCCTTTTCTTTTTTTTTTTTTAAATGCTGCCTGATATACGTAATTTAGATGAAACATATATGTAGGTTAATATTATGATTAATACTTAAATGATATATATTGAAATATTTAATATAATATCTGAATTTTAAAAAATTTTAATTTAATATTTAAATTATAAAATCTGTTAATATTTAAGAAATTATTCATCTTTCATATATTATTATTTACATTAATTATATTAACGATAAATATTATATTAATTAATATATTTAAAATTTAAATATTAAATTAAAAGTTTTTAAATTTTAAATATTTTATTTAATATTTTATTATAATTTAAAATTATTAATGACGGTAGCCTCTTTTCTCTCTCTATATATATATTGCATTAATACAAGCTTTTATACAGACCCTATCCAAAAATGCACAAATCCAACATTTTCTAGTTGCCAGAGCACGAACTTTTGATTGCAATATATATATATATATATATATATATATATATATATGAGGATGAATCAATTTGTACAATGTAAAATTAAATTTTTTTATATTTTTTTACTCATTAATTTTAATATATTCAATAGATGATTTTTTTTAAATATAAAATTTTTAAATGAAATTTATGAAGTTTTAAAATAAAAATAATTAAATCAAATTTGATAAATTTAAAAGATCTTGTTACATTATCAAGTGTATAAATTTTGCAAAAAATTTTTAAAAATTTGATATATGTTTTAGATAATCATTTTTATAAAAAAATTTGGTAAAATTTTATTGTTAAATAAATATCTATCAAATTTAAATTATAAATGGTATTTTTAATAAATTTTTTATATATTATTAATTTTCTTATTAAATTTCAATGGTGTATATTTAAAAAATTTAACAAATTTTACCTAAGAGATTTTATCTAAATTTTTTTCCATCCACTTAAGGACCGAAGGGCTTAAAAAAACCACAAACTAAAGAAATTTCTAATTAGCAAAGAAAACTTCACACCATTATCATCGTGATGATAATTTGATATATGAAATTGTTTGCAATCAGGAAGAGCTTTCATTGAGAAATTAGATGAGTTGCCTTTTGTCATACCATAAATGTATAAACAACGCAATAATTCATTTTGCCTATTGGTTTGCAACCCAAGTTGAGCTATAAATACGAAAAAAAAAAAGAGAAAAGAAACTACATTGAATTTAAGTTAGGAACCAAATTATTACTGATTGCCATGAAAAAAACAAACTAATAGTTGTCACATCCAGCTTTAATGCAACAGTACTTGAAGCGGGAAAAGCACCGTCCGTGGAGGAAAAAATTATCATGATTAAACGTTGTTGAACTTCTTGGTGATGCCTAAGCCTCATTCTGGGACCGTTGGATTTGTCATTTGAATAGGCAGCTCTTTGATCAAATTGTTCAATGCCATGTGAGAAAAAATTGGGTGAATTGGAAATTGGCATGGCAGCAGCTGGTTCCAGGGATGTTTAGAAGAGAAACAAAATATGTTGGTTTCTTGTATTTTCTAAAATGTTATGCAAAAGATGCCGTACAAAAGTGAGTGCATTAGTGAGATTGCTTGTCTCGGTAAGCATTTATTATTCATGGAAGTAGCCATTTGACAACTTATCTGTTCCCGGGCGTCCGCTCTCTAGTTGTGCTCTAGCTGATTCACTGTTTCGTTTGACACCATCATCATCTCTCTATAACATCTAAAATTAACAATAACAAGAAGCAAATACAATATGCTTCTCTTGAAATGTTGGATCAACAAACATATTATTTGATAGAATCAACTTTTCATTTAAGGCTTCAATAGGAAAACCCCTATACAATCAAGTTATAATGCCAATAATCTATTATAAAGACTAGGAGATAAGCACATCAGATATTTCTGCATGATGCTCTTCCAGAATAACTTACCTTGACAAAAATACTTTGAAATCCGCATTTCCATTATGACTTCAATCTTCCGTCATAACTTCTACCCAGGTTTCTTCACTTAAAGCGTCACGGAAGTATCTTTGCAGGCTCCAAAAGCGTGTGTATCTTCAACCAAACTTGCCACCCCTGTCAAAAGGACTTGCCTCAACTTCCATCCTAAGGAAATGGTTAAGATAAGGTAAAAACCAATTCCCAGTTTAAGCTGTGCACAACTGACTACAAGAAAAGCATCAGTCCGTTTGGACCTTGCACCAAAGAATCCAGTTTGTTTGGCAGCTATATTGCAAATTAACTTAAATATTCACGACTAATACTAAAACGACTTCTTTCTTAAATCTTAATGTTCATGAAACTTTAGAAGAAAAGGAATATGGGCAAACTTTACAATATATATGCAGACAAATAATTAGTTAAGTACACTTGAGTACTATATGTTATATGAAAGAACGCAGAAAGCAGTCACTTTTAAGAGCTACTTGACTTTTCCAACGACCTGAAAAATCCGATCATATGGTCATAAACATCTCTATTTGCGTTTATGCTCAAAAGGAAGTCTATATGACCGTAGTTCTCGAGATAAAGCAACTCTGGGTTGGATGTTAATTCCTCAAGAGTGTGCTGCACATCTGTTACATCTGCTAAGGCATCATTCCCTCCATAACTCATCCATAATGGCAATGACTTGGGTATGCTGTTAAGATCAAATGCTGGGGGTTTAAACTGTCCATACATCAGTAAGTTTTTCAAGATTCCATAATCATACCGGGAAAAAGTACCCTGGCGGATCACTGCCAAATATATAGAAAAACCATGAAAGTTTCAGCAGAAGAATTTAAATTCAATAAACATCTATTCCAGTATAAACAACTTTTTAAGGAAGAAAACATTAAAAAGGTTACAGCTTTTAAAAAAAAATGCTCCTATTGATTTCAAAAGCTTGTAGTCTAGAATGAGGAATAAGAAGGCTTGTAAACCCATTCAGGTTAGTTAAACATGCAGAAAAAAAAAGGCAACAAAAAGAAAGTATATGGAAGAATACTTTGGAAAAGATGGCGTAAGTTCTTCACAGATGAGGGGTGAGGTTCATACTCCAAATAGAAGTCCATCCGAGTTTTATTAAAGCAGCAATTCTGCCCTGCAATGTAATTGTCTTGTCAAAAACCTTTCATTAATGGTAAGATATCAATTATCACACATTTTGAATAATCCCTTTAGTTTCAGAGTGTTTATTGAACTTTTATAAAGTCAAAACTTAAAAGCTGCCCTTGAAGCTAAAAAACTTTATGCAACCCTAGCAAAAACAAACAAATATCCGTTCCAGACTCCAGAGGCAGGCAAAGTATAAAGTTCTCTTTTCTGTATTTTTTATTAAACTAGGAAAGGGTAAGGTTATATTAGATATGGTTTAAAGAATTTTAAAACCCAGCCATGAACAATTTGCTGTTGAGTTCTATCTAGTGCAATATCCTACATTAAAGGTTAAGTGAGTGAGTGTGTGGCCTTGCTCTTAAGGCATAAATTCACATCAGCTGGGAAATATTTACCGAGAATGAAAATTTTGAGCTAGATCACTTATGCAGCACTTTTCAATAAAAAGAAATGCAACAAAAGGAATTAGCATCCTAAAACAACAAAAATAATGCATATTTTTGTGTGTCTGCATGTTGTGAATATATCTGTTTGAGTGTAAAGACAGGAGAGGAGAAGAAAACCTGTTACAGAACTTAGAAAATCAGTACAATCCACATGGCCATCACATAATGAATCCACAAGGTTAACCAACACATCGCTGAAGTTAAAACAACAACATGAAATGCAATTAAACCCCTAAATCAACAAAAATGGACAAGGCCAACCATCACCTTCATAACAGTTGAAAAGATATTGGGGAAAAAGGAAAAACAAAAGAGATAGAGGTGTTAATAAACCTCCTGAAGTTCAATTGGTGTAACCCCAAACCAAGAACCATCTGTCAGAAAAGAATGTCTAAGAACATCATAATGGCCAAAAACCAATTTTGCTAGGTAAAACAACAATGATGAACAAGGTATACCTGATCAAGATGCACTGCAACCATTCTAAGTACAAGTGGAGCACTGACATGGTCCAAGTAAGATATTGGACACAAAAGAGCAGCAGCTTCAACCATTTCCGCTATGTCCGGCTGAGTGAGAGCAGCCAAAGACATGATTGTTCCCTATGAATAAAAGGTATAGGATAAGTAACCTAACAAGCAAGAGGCAGGTAAATTGTGCTCTAGGAACAAGATAAAGCATCCAGGACCTGTGAATGTCCAACAATAAAGATTTTGGAGCTTGTAACTGAGTTTATGTAGTTTAACATTTCTGCAAGATCATACAGAGCTAATTCCTGCCAACTCCACTCCCAAAATTCCTGCAAGAAAAGCCGACAGTTACTAAAGCCATGTTGCAGAGTGGGAGGAGAGAATATAAATCATGGAGATGAAAATTCCTTTATGTTTGACACAACAAGTGAAGAGGTTTGAGAAACCACCAGCCAACCTTGAGACAGATTTTATAAGGATAAAGATGCATTGGGAAACCCTTATATCATTATAAGAGAAAAAAAAAGAAAAAGAAATGAATAGATGGAAAAGATAGTGTTACAACTAGCAATTTGTACTCTAAGCTAAGGAAACTGGATGTCAGGGTATACTAACAAAGATGCACAAACATTGAAGATCAGCAGCAGTTATGCGTGGGTGTCAAGCTCATACAACACATACAGCCAATTAAGGTATATATGTTGCAAGATAAATTCAATGTTTGTGCATTCGAACTTCTAAGGTAGTTGAAGTTTTCCACATTGAATACAGCCAACTAAGCCAAAAACATTGCAAGATGAATCCAGCAAAGAGAAAGAGGCATAAGGTATAAATTTTTCTACCTTCTCTGTTTCAGATAAAGATGTGTGTCCATGACTCCAACGTGTTCCACGAACATTTCCAACCCATACATCAAAACCCTGGTCTGCCAGGATGAAGCCCAATGACTGCTCGGTAGAATCCAAAAACCATGCATCACCTGCCTGTTTTAAATTGGAGTAAATCAAGGTCAGAAGCTATGAATGACTGAATTCACTCAATAGTAAAGCAAATTCATGCATGTACAAAAATATAGTCCTTCTGTATATTAACACATATAGCATATTATATTACAAAGGGAAAGCAAACAAAATTATTTATTTCGTTATTTATTGGAACAATCACAAGATCTAGGTTTTTGCGTTAGAAAAACAGAAAGATGACATCTTTCAGTGCATTTACCAGAAAAAAAGAACAGAGAAATTTCAGATAAGCATATCGATAAATAGTACTTGGTAGGATCAAGACACGTGAGAAGACTTTCACAACGAACTACATAGTTGATAAAGTAAAAACATCAAACAGGGTTTTGCCCTTGAACTCATGCCTGGATAATTTCCAATAGAAAATCAATGGGAAATCATAAACCATAAAATAAGTCTAGGTTATTAGACCAAAGATAATCATTTAAAATCTATAAGATCTCAATAGATTCCTTTTTAAGCATAATAATATTTCTCCAACAACTAAAAGTGACTAAGGCACCCTTGCAAAGCAATTTATAGCAAACTCTACTTACAGTAGGTAAGGTTACAAAGAAATAACATAGCATCTCTGGGACATCAGCAAATTCAAGGCGTGTTGGCTAAGATGCTGAATATAACAGCTAAATAGTAAGGGACAACATGTGAACTCCGCTATTTGAGAAGTTATTTCGGGTGAATGGAGAATTTACCATGAACAATCCATGTTGAAGCAAAACAGGACGACCTTGCTGAACTCTAATATCCCCAGAACGAGATGAGACGCGTTGAAGAGCTAATAAGTAGCCATCCTTGGTTTGAACCTTTTTAAAAAAAGTAGTAATAAAAAAAATCAAAAGGAAACTCTACTTTGAGTTACTAAACAAGAAAACAACATTTTCATCCACTAACCAAATTTAACCAGAAAATCCTAAAGAACCAAAGTAATCAAATATTAAAAAATTTTGCCTCATGGTTATACTACAAATTTAACCACGACAATCAGATTAGATTAAGCTACTAGAAAAAAGGAAAGGAAAAAAAAATCCCACCTTGAATTTTCCCAAATTTTAGAAAATCAAACTTGGGTGAAAAAAGTTTTTTCGGGCAGGGCACCAATAATATCTAAGAAACCTTAACGAAAATTGGGGAGATATATTAAGGCCGTTAATGGTACCACGGAAATCAGGAAAAAATAAAAAGAAAAAGAAATTTCATTGCCCGTAATTGGCAATTTCTTCCCAAAGCAAACAAAAAATATATATGTATATTTGCTTTGATTGCTTATCTGATCGCTCTGGTCCTTTCAAAAGTTTCCTTAATTATTTTTCTCCATTTCTCAGGATCAGATGAACCTTGACAAGAATAAATTTGAAAACAATAACCATAGAGAGAGAGAGAGAGTACAATGTATTCGGCGCAGGAATAACCGTTGGGCTCGATAAGCTGTGCGCAGAGAGAGTCGGCCTGGGATGTTAGGCCGGGATGGGAAGAATTTCCCGTGAAATATCCGTCGGAAAGCGAAAGGCTAAAAGAGAAAAACAAGATGAGGAATGGTGGGAGAATCGCCGGAAACTTGTCCATCTCTGTGAATCGGAGTAAGATTGAGTGAGCCGGACGGGATGCCCCACACCATACCTCGCACTCTCTGTTCACCTTATTATTATAGTACTATAGTATTATTATTATACTTACTGCTGTACTTTATCCATTTTTAATGAATTTTAAAGAATAATAAATTTAATTTTCTTTAATCTTTTTTTTTATACTTTCAAATTAATTTACAAAAACTTGTGAAATTAACTCAAAATATACAAATACTACTATCATTTATATTGGGTAATTAAATAGTACCACTCTATTACTTCTAAATTTATTCGTGGACCGGCTAAAATCGATTAGCTTCTTAAAAGTTTTACCCAAGGTTTGATATAATGTATCAATTTTAAAAGATTTCAAGCTTGAATTTTTTTTAAAATTAAAATTATTAAAATATTAATATCTTTAAATATATTAAAATAAAATAAAATAATTATTAATAATTTAATTTGAGGTAAAAAATTTTATTCAAAATTCAACCCAAATAAATCAAATTTATAAATCATAATGTGATTTAATTGGTGAACAAATTAGTATTTTATCAGTATATTTGGTATACAAAATTATAATATGATAAGATAAATAATATTATGAATAAAATTAAATTAAATAATGTTATTTAATTTTATATTTCATATGCATAAAAATAAAAAAGATAATTTTATTTATTAATCAAATTATTTTTTTCAAAATTTATATAATTTAAATTATTAATTTAATATTTAACAATATAATAAAACATATTAATTTAATACCATAAATTAAAAATAATATTTTTTACTTAAAAATAATTAAAATCATCTTATACACAAAATAATTAATTTTCATTATAATTTTATTTTTAAAAACATAAATAAAATGTAATAAAAATAATTATTATTTTCCAATATCAATCATCTTATGCACTAAAAGTAGCTATATTTCTCAAATCTCTACGTGGCAGATTTTTTTTTGTACGTCTGTTCACTTTGGAATATCTCCCGTGATCATTTTTGTTTTACTATCCCATATTCGACGATTACTTTAGATTTTCATTATTTTGGAGTCGAGTGGATCGCATTTTATAAGAAGAAAAATTTTCAGTATTTATTTTTTTATTCATAAAATTTAAATTTAAAATTTTATTTTAAAAAATTAAATTTTTTATTTTTCCAATCAACAAACGGTATATAAATCTCTCCCATGATCATTAGTTATAGAGTTGGGTCGATAAATATCATGTACAGACAATCAATTTTTTTTTCTTTTTTATTAAAATTCACCAATAAATTTTAGGTAACTTTTAAAAGAAAATATAATGAATAAAAGATACATGTAATCAAAATTACAAATGAACACATATAAAGTGTGTAAGTAAAGGTTGTTGCTGTTTTATCGCTAAAAACAGTTATGAACCAACTACTAGTCTTAGTCAACTGTGTTTTTCTTTTCAAAACAAGACAAAGACAAAATTGGTAAGTACTACTAACAGTACTATAATATTACTATATATAAATCGCATTATTGCAGCAACGTTGAAGTCACAATATTATTGGGAATTTTTTTGTAAATCATGTGTAGTTATTAAAATTTTTGTGATGTTTTATTTTGATCATTTAATTATAAAGATTATGATTTTAGTAACGTCATAAATTTTAAATTTTTAAAATTTAATAATTAGAAATTAATGATTGGCTAATATGTTATTATCACTTTGTTTGATAATTTTCATGTGATTGATTAATATGTTATTTTTATTTTATTTGATAATATAATATTAGCACGTCATTTGATATATTATATAAAATAATTAATATGATATCATTATTTAAAAAATATCAATAAGATAATATCATAATATTATGTGATGATTGTCAAGTGATATGATTATATCATTTCAATCGATCGTTAGCTTTTAACAATCAAATGATCAAAAATTTAAAATTTTGAAAATTCAATAGTTAAATCGAGATTTTCATAATTAGATTTAATAAAATCAAAAAATAATGAAATTTTAATAATTAAATATAAATTTATAATCTAAAATATAAGATGGTGATATGACAAAAAATAAAAAAAAATTAATAAAATTTAAAATTTAAAAAAATTATATATTCATTTAATAAAATAAAAAAATTACATATTATATTTTCATACTACGAATTATGATATATAATTTTTATGTAAAATATAATATAAATGCATAAATTATTAATATTTAAATGATAAAAATACTAAAATTATCAATTCTAATTAATGCATAGTTTACCTATTTGTTCCTAATAATTACAATGTTTGTTCATAAACAATATGTGTCGACTTCTTAAGAGATTAAAATGGATGGATGACCTTCTTAAAACAGGTGCTAAATATTTTTTTATTAAGAAAAATTTTAGAGTAAATATGTTTTTTAATATTTCTGGTAAGATATATCATATTTAATAGTTTAAGATAAATAATTATAGTTCATACATTTAAAATAATCTCAACAAACAATTATCAATAAAATTTAAATTTAAAACTTTTTTATTAAAAAAAATAAATCTTAATAATTGAGCTAACTACTTACTAATATCAAAGTGCTAAATTATTTTTTAGCTTTTGATTATAACAGAGTGGAAATTTTTTATTATATTAGAGAATTCTTATTTTTAGAAAAGAAAAAAGAATATTTGTTTGACCGTCTTATGGCATCATGATTCATGATGTCAATGCCACGTTGTCTTTGCATCATATTCACCCATATTAATGGAGTGTTTATATGTTTTTAAGAGAATAAAAAATTTGAATAAAAGTTCTTTTTTTTTATTTTATTTTTAATGTTTCTGTCATTTAAATGATTATAATTGGACTGACTGCATGCCAAAAGTCACACCGACGCATTGAAGTTTTTTTACAAAGCATGTTGAAGTTTAGACTGATAATTTTTTTTTTTTTTAAGAAAAGTTGGCGGATTAATGAGATTTTGATTGTTTAATTATAGTATAATTTATTAATTATTTATTTAATTATTATAATTTAAATTATGATATAATAATTAATTATATAAATATAATATTTAATTATTATTATAATTAAAAAAATTGATCAGAAAAGATATTATATCTTAAGTTTAAGTAAAAAATTATATTAAATTTACATATTATTCAAAAAAGTTTGAAGATAATAAAAGTCAAATTTAAATTTTAAAATTCAAGTATTTGATCTTTATTATTATTTTTTGTAAATTACATTTGTATTATAAATTATTACATAATTAAATAAATAATTAAAAGATTTTAACTTAATTAAATAATTAAATTCATACACAATAAAACTTGAAATTAAAATTTTAAAATTTTAAAACATGCTCCTTGCCATTAACCAAAAACTTCATTGGCTATTTAATTTAATTATACAATATGATCGATAAAAAAATAAAAAAAATCTTATTTTTTTTATTTGATTGAATGTGAATGGTCCACATAAATTTACATTTGAGTTTAAAAGTAAAAAAAAAATTCAAAGTTTAAAATTCAAATTATAAAATAAATAAAATAAAATTTATATTATCATAGAGAATTAATTCACATTATATATAATTCAATATCATATGTTCAAAATTCAATATCATATGTTGAAAAAATGAACAATCATAGAGAAAAAAGTAAAAAATGTTGCTGCACATGACCCTATACATGTCCAAGTTCATTTAACATGTTAAAACGCAAGTTACAAAGTCTAATCCATCAGTGTTCCGTGTAGTTCCCGCTGCAATGATACGCTAATGTTGCCTTTTATTTATGGCCGCAGATAAATCCTCACTTTCGGTACCAAGTTCAATGAGCTGTCTTCCAAAAAGTCATCGCCGACCGCATCGCCTCCTTTTTTCTACAGTTCCACGTTAGGAGTGAGTCGCGCCTCTGTCTTTTCAGTTCTTCTCTTAAATCTCTGTGGCATCCAAAGCCCAGCCGGAACTGCTCTCCCTCACCCCCGCCCCCCCAAAAAAAAAGGAAGTTAAAAGAAAATGGCTTTTTCTGAGTTCAGGCCACTAGATGAGAAGTCACTCATCGAATACATAAAAGCGACGCCGTCTTTATCATCGAAGATTGGGGGCAATTTCGATGATTTAAAGATTAAGGAAGTTGGAGATGGCAATCTTAATTTCGTCTACATCATTGTTGGCACTTCTGGTTCTTTTGTCATCAAGCAGGTTTCGCTCTTTTTCCATCTTCTATTTCTTTCCTTTTTTTTTTTAACCTTTAATCCATTGAAATATGAAATGGGTTTTTCCAATTAATTTTTTTAGAAAACTATTCTGTTTAGTGATTTGTTGGAATACAGGCGCTTCCGTACATACGATGTATAGGGGAATCTTGGCCAATGACAAAGGAACGAGCATATTTCGAAGCGTTAGCGTTAAAAGAACATGGTGGATTGTGCCCTGAACATGTTCCTGAAGTTTATCACTTTGACCGTACCATGTCTTTGATTGGAATGCGATATTTAGAGCCTCCCCATATAATCCTGAGAAAAGGGTTGATTGCTGGAATCGAATATCCATTCTTGGCGGAACATATGTCAGAATACATGGCCAAGACTCTTTTCTTCACATCTCTCCTATATCTGTCAACCACAGAGCACAAACGTGCAGGTAACAGATTTATATGCATTTTCCTTTTCATTGATTTTTTTTTTAAGTTTGATTTTGGTGTAGTGCGAATGCTGTCACTGCAAGTACATTTGAGGGGTTAAAAATCAGGCCTGATATCATAAGTTAGGTTGTGCACTAATTAAACTTTATTGTCCAATACTTGGTTGCAACCTTGATTCAGAACAAAGTTATGTCATATCTAGGCAACGGTTTTTCTCCCTTTGAATACATCAAGTTTGGTGAAACATATTAAACTGTATACGCTTTCCTATTTAAGTTGGGGATAAAGTTGGAAGTGTTTTATAGTCTCCAATCCTATATTTGTAATTGTATAACAGCAGTGTCAAGTTTGCTGGTGGTGCTATAATAATTTATTATATCATACAAATGATTACTCCATAATGTCTAGATACTAAGGATCATAAAGGAAAAAAGACACTTTTATCATTGAGGAAATGGCAGGGGTATGTTTAAGTGTGCTATTCTATTCCTAATAATCTCTTTGTAGCTTTTGCCTTGAGTAGCAATTGAATCTTTAGATATTTCTGAACACAAATTTCATCAATCCTGCGTGCAATTTTAGCAGCAGAAAGAATATGTTTCTAATAAAAGCCTGTACCCTTATTGCTTTAGACAGAGTAGTCATCCCAAATGTCATGGCATTAAGAAAGAAATGCTTCTTTATGTCTGTAGATATGAAGGATGGGTCTTTCTGTTGAACAAGAAAAAATACATAATTATCAGCTTTATCATTAGCTCTACTATTCTATTTGGAGCAGGTATTTATATATTTTTTAGCTTAAAGAAAATGCTATTGTCTAGTAGTGATGCTTTTTGAAGCTTGAAAATATTCTACTAATTTACCTGCATTTAATGTTTGTGCAGTGGCTGAGTTTTGTGGGAATGTGGAACTATGCCGGCTCACCGAGCAGGTCATTTTTTCTGACCCATATAAAGTATCTAAATATAACCGTTGGACTTCACCTTATCTCGACCGTGATGCCGAGGCTGTCCGGGAGGATAATATATTGAAGCTTGAAGTAGCTGAATTGAAATCTAAGTACGGTTGGACTTCTAATTCTACTTTATAAATACAATTTTATGCTTTATTTATCAAGTTATTAGACTTGCCTTTATGTAGGTTCTGTGAAAGAGCCCAGGCCCTTGTACATGGAGATCTCCATACTGGTTCTGTCATGGTTACCTGTGATTCAACTCAGGTCATAGATCCAGAGTTTGCATTTTATGGACCAATGGGATTTGATATTGGTGCTTTTATTGGAAACTTGATTCTGGCTTTCATTGCACAAGATGGACATGCTGATCAAGGGAATGACAGAAAAGTATGCCCTTCGTTGTCTTCTCATTGTTTTATGAAACTTTCCTGTATATTTTTCTTTTTAGTTAGTCATCCTTAGTTATAATTCCATCTTGATTTATACTGTTTTAATATGTGCTACAAGCACTAAGTTTCTTCTGCTTTTAATTCTTGTTTAACCACTTAAGTCAATTTATTCAATGAAAAATATTTATCATACCTCTTGTGATTTTATGATCAAATATATTCTCTATGGTATCTCCAGTTGTAGCCCAAGATAAAGTTGTGTTTGTTTCATCATCTATAGGAAATGTGGTCCATGCAAGTTATTGGCAGTGTCACAGAAATGTTTTACATCAATATATTAGTACTGAGCTTAGGAAATTAGAAGTGAGTCAAAGTGAAGAAGATGAATAAAATGAAGTGTTAGAGAGGACATTCATGTCTTCAAATTATTAGGATGTCCTCTGTTGGTTTCAATCATGATTTCCTAATGAATTGATTGATGATATGTGGGAAGAGGTATGTGGATAAACAGGCTGACAGATCTTTTTACATGCATGTGCTTGCACTTTCATTGTGTTTGGGGAGCTTAATTTGTAACTTGAAGTCATACATACCATTATTCTTCCTCAATCTACTTTTAAGGGAGTTGCCTATATATTTATTTGTGGGTATATACATATGAATGCATCACGCATGTAGCTAGGCTACGATGCATCGTTTATAGACTTTTTTGAAGACTCTCAATTTGCATTTTGTTTTAAAAAAATTTCAAGTACCATATAGGCATGGCTGAATTTTATATTGCCATGCAGATATACAAAGAGTGGATATTGAAGACAACTGAGGATACTTGGAATCTTTTCCACCAAAAATTCACTGCACTTTGGGATGCACACAAGGATGGTCCTGGGGAGGCATACCTTCCAGCAATTTATAACAACCCTGAGCTTCAGAAGCTTATACAAGAAAAATATATGAAGGAATTGTTCCATGACACACTTGGGTTTGGTGCTGCTAAGATGATAAGGTGAGATAAAGGTTTTCTACCAGGTCCTCTACTTTTTCTTCATTCCTGGCCTTTGTAATCACCCGTGTTTGTCTATTGCGGTCTGTTATCTTGCATTTTCAGCCCATTGCAATTGTGATATGCATCTTTGAATAAACCGCCTTCTAGACTTTTTCCCATATATTTTGGTCCTTGTACTTCTGTTCTGTTTTATCATACTTCTACTGTGTAGGCAATTTATCTTTAATTGCACAGAACTCTGAGCTTGGAAATTTTGTAGGATCGTTTTCCTTCTAGTAAATTCAGGCAACCTTACTCGTTTGACTCGAGGAGTCTTCCTCTACAGGTTGAATACCAGTTGTAAAAGCAGCTATTCTACCTGCATTCACATGCAGGATCCTACTTATTTATTAAATTCTGAACATTGTCCAAATGTTAATTCTAAAATTTATCTATTAAACTCTGACAATTTTGTAATTCTGTTGCTTTTCTCTTTTAATTTGCAGGAGAATTGTTGGTGTTGCTCATGTTGAGGATTTTGAATCAATTAAAGAGGTGAGCATAAGAGCAGATTGTGAGCGACGGGCTCTTGACTTGGCCAAGACTCTTCTCAAGAAGAGGCGAGAATTCGTGTCAATTAGTGAAGTTATTTCAGCCATTAAGCATGTTCAATCATGATTTAAATTACCTGAAAATTGATGTTTTGCTCCCGGTGTATCAGTTCCCTCATTGAGCATCTTCAAAATGTTTTTCCTGGGCCAAGCCGCTCTGACTGGAGTTATTCCGACTGTGAGTTTTGGCCCATTAATTATTATGTGAAACTGTTGTCTGCAGCTATATAAGCTTTTGATCTAAATAGTTAGAAGGTTTTTCACGATCTAGACATTACTACTGTTTGTAATTTAATAAAGTTTTCATGCACCACTGAAGGCCTGCCGGCCTTGGATTGTGAGTTTATGAGAAAAATTCCCTGTTTCTGTTAACATTACAGCTCGACTGGTGCTGTTGCAAAGCACAACTAAGTCTTGACTGTCTAGGTTATTCTGAATGTGACTCTTGGGAAATGAAGTACTCTGAATTTCTTCTAACTTACAAAAATATATTTTGACAGGTTATCTTCCTGTCTCCAGTATGTGTGTGTATATTGGAGTTTGTGCTACTAGATGTTGTCTTACTGGAGGTTGTGTGCTATTGGAGGTTGCCCTAGGTGCAATTAGGTTCAAGGTTTTGAAGAACGTGTTGCCCCAATCCTGATTAGGTTGCAGATAGGCCTGGTTAACCTGCTCCCTATTTTGATTTGGTCTAAGAAAGTTTCCTTGAGTTCCTCCTAAGAATTGTTGAACACCATCAACTTTGACTAACTTGGGCAGCATATCTCTTATGATGTTGGTTACATAATTTTAGATTGGCTGTTGCCCCATGGCCTAGTTTGGCTGTTGAGGAATGCCTTGGTTGACTTTGATCCCTGATCTTAAGCTTTGGTTTGCCTGGATCCCTGATCTTACATAAATTATGATTTTTGTCAATATATAAAGATAAATTAATTGATCAATTAAGAGAAATAAAAACATATTTAGTTTTCTAATCTTTTTTTCATAATTTCCCGTTTTCTCCCTATTCTCCACTGCTCAAACTTACTAAAAGTATGTTGTGTTAAGGTTCGTTACAAATCAACTAATAGTATCTCCATAGCCAATTTTTACTGGCTTTGATATTTTCCTTCAAAAGAAGAAAAGATAAAGCACTCCCGTTGAATCCCTTTCATATTACCTGAATAATTTCCTAGATAGTTTTGCGTTAATATGAATCTCATTATTGACTGCAAACAGAACTACATCCCTGTTTTCATTGAACGTGGTGAATTGTGGCATATTTTTTCTTTCAGCTGGGTTGTTTTGTTGGAAGATTCCCCGTATAAAATTTGTGATCGAACTCATAGTTTGCTGGCTGTACCCGATCTCAATATCCTTTCTGAAACGAACACCTCCATGGGCATGGCTGTCTCAACATTTGTCATTGACGGCATATTCGACAGCATAGGTGCCTTGCATGGCTGCAAGAGATAATATTGGCCAAGAGAGGGAAAACAGGGTGTGAGTCATGTTAGCTTAATGGCTTAGATATTGAGTCATGTTAGCTTAATAGCTTAGATACTGCTTCTCTGTTTCCTTCTCAGTGGATTTTTTTAAAAATGTCTTGTTCCCCTATGGTTTATGTGGCAGTTGGATGGCAGTGGCAACTGTCAACTGGCAAGGTGGTACTTGGCTTTCGTAATTGATGGTATCGTTCAAAAGTTTGATCTATATATATAATATATATATATATATATATATATATAGTCATGAATCATTGAAGATAAATCCATAAGGTAGTTCCTCAGCCTCATTCTATTTGATGCAACTTATAATTGATGGGAGATCTACTTTGTCAAACGCAGACTAATCAAAATTGGAGGGGTCATAAAAAACCACGAGAGATGGATTGAACCAAACTTAAAGGCCATATAAATCCAGTTTTAATTATCAAAAAAAAAAAAGAGAGAAATCCGATAATTGACATTGATTTGGATCAAATGTACGTCTAACTTCTTTATTTATTGACTATAATTAAGTACAAGAGAGCTAAAGCTTATTCATATATGCCTTTATTTTTTTTTTTGGATAAATAAAGGCTTAACCATGGGCTGCTTGCTATAGCTATGATATGTCTAATTCCTTGGCTGGTTCTTGTAGTCGCTCCACAACTGATCAACAGTCTTGCCAAGTAGCTGAAAAAAGAAGTCAGTACTGTAACCATCTCTCATCTTCTTGTTAAGCTCTGCTACAAATCCAGTTCTAAGACCTTCACAATACTCCAAAAACCTGGCCGTAACAGAGTACCCGTCGTACCAATTATTGCCTTGCCCTGGCTGTGCCCATCCACTTGGAATGTAATTAGCCTTCAGCCTTACAAAATCTGCAATCCCTTCAATCAATCCTCCAAGAGTCTGGTCTTGTTGCCCATTCCCGTTCCATTGCCATACGTGAGTCATCTCATGGTAAAGCACCCCATTGAATTCCGGCTTCAGTTGATCGCCGCTAAAAGCTTGGATATGTTTATCGCTTACATAAATCACATTGTTGCTTGTAGCTGCGGGAACTTCCGGAGGCAAATTATCGACGACAAAAAGGCTTACGGTTGGAATATTGTTCTTCCTGTCAGCCGGATCGGTTTGTTGGAAGAGATCCCAGATGAATTGTGAGGCCAATTCCATTTGTTGTCGGGTGTATTCTACTCCAAGCTGGTTGTCAAATACGATGCCTCCAGGAGTTGTAGCAGCCTGGTTGCTAACAACGTAATCGACTGCTTCCATGCCATGTAGGGTTGCTAATGCTAGCAGTGAAACAAGGAAGAAAACTTGGTGAGCCATGGGCTTTCTGTGATGGTGTTGCTGGTGTGAATTATTGATGGTTAAACGTTTATATAGAAATTGCTGTATTACCATTCTAACATGTTTTGTCTCCAGTGAAATATTGCTGGAAGCTTCCCCCATCATTGAAATTGTTTCCAGCTTTGACGAGTCATTAAACTTGGAAAAGTAAGTTGCCCATATGACCTTCGATCTGCTAAAAGTCTAAGATGGGTGGCGATTTTTTGACAAGATTTTTTGTAAAGATTTCTTATAACCCTTTCGGTCTTCAATGTTGTCTAGTTCAAATTAATAGGTTTGAAATTTAAAGTACCTTAAATAAGAAAATGATGTAAATATTATTTTAAAATTAAATTAAAATTTTTAATTTTTTGTGAAGTCATGCATGTGTTTATTTCTCTTTAAGAGTATTAAGGCTTGAGGTTTGAATAATTTCTTTCTCTTTGAATTTTTTTCATATGTATGGAACAATTTTGATTCATTTTTAATTGAATATGATTTTGGAAAATGAACAAAAGTTTAACAACGAAAGCAACAATTAAAACAGGTTTAATGATAAAACAATTTAGATTAAAAGAAATTATTCCAAACACATCCTCTTTCACTTTATGAAATTCATGCCTAAAGTTGTACGTTTTCTACCACATCAATTCTTTAAAAAAAGTGCTTTTAAAAATTGAAATCATCTTCGTGTTGTAATTGAAAAATACCATTGACAAAATTCACAGGTTTTGCTTCGGGTTTATTATTTGCTTTTTAATTATTTTTTTCAATACAAAATAAAAAATAAACAAATAGTAAAAAGTAGAAAATAAAAACACCAATTAAACGAACCATAAATTTTGGAAGTAAATTTGATGAATATACAAATTTAAGTGACCTTATCCTCATCTCTTTTAATGATTAAATAACGATCTTGATTTCGAATCATTACCCTCCCCTCTTCACTCACTTGTGTAAAAGAAAAAAAAAATTAAGTGGGCCTTCAAGCAGCATGGGCCAATTCAGGCTTGTAGAACTATCTTTAGTACCTGGCCTTCAATTTAGCTGCTCTTACAACAAATTCAAGCACAGTGGATATGGTTGCAATGAGTGTCCAAATCTGTCAAAACTAAAATACAGGCTGGGCTTCAGCCCTTGGAAATTGGGTATTTTGCTTTTCTTATGGAAATTTGATAGAAATCAGATTTGGAAAATGAAAAAGAAACAACCAAGTCCATTGGGAGAATGTCCTCCTTGGATTAATGGCTGACGGTGTCTGTCTTTGGTTAATTATACCGTGTGTGTACAGAATAATACCTCATATCTAACAAGAAAAAAAAGATTGGTTTTTTAATTTGTTCTCATTATAACAAGAACATGAAATGCTGATAACAAATAATTTTATAAGATCAACAAGGGTTGACAGAAGTAATAAAAAACGAATGCTCGATGCATTAACATTTAGGTTTGAATTTTTTTACAAATTTTTGTTGATAAACAATTTATAAATCCGAAGAATATGTTATGATGAAGTGACATTCATAAAGCTGACGTGGTTTTTTTTGCAAACACCTATGGTTTTTTACGGTGAAAATGTTGTCGATTTGACTGTCATTCTATTTCACAACTACATATTTATGACAAAATCATGTTTCGTAAAGGAAACGGAAAAAAAAAAAAATGTTAGTCGGTTCACTTGTATTCCAGCTGTTCATTTTTTCATGGATGGATACCTAAATAATATAGTATAACACTTTTTTCTCCTTTCTTTTCTCTCTTTTTCTGTAATTTTTAAAACAAAGAAGGAGAAAGTAAGAAGGGTTGACCATGAAAAGTGCTTGATAGCTCATACTACTAAGCCCTTGTTTGCTTTTAGGAGTACGCCTTATTTGAACAGAGTTTTCTGTTATATTTGGTTGTTGACAATCTTTTGAATAAGAAAAGCTTTAATTGTTCCTAATATTCTATTTTTGTTAAAGAATTGGTGTTTAAAACCAAGAGTAGAGTGGGAACCAGGAACAACCGACCAAGAAATATGAGGACATTGTGGCAGCTCTTTCTTTTTACTTTTTTTTCTTTTTTTCGTTTCCTTTTCGTTCAAAATTTTTTATGCCCTGGTTGGAATAAGAGAGGTATGCCATACACTGTAGGCCATGCTGACGATAAGGCAAGAGATTCATTTGTAGATATTGTCAACCGCGCATATATATATATATATATATATATATATATGCAATTGGAAATCAAAGCACATTCAACATTTTGAGTGGTTTTAAATTAAATTTAGTATATATATATATATTTATGAAAAAGACTTTAATATGAGAATAAGATCAAAAAAGGTTATGATCGGTAAAATTTGACCTAAACTTATTATAGATGTTACTTTTCGAATAAATCAATTAAATTAAGTTTTAAATTCTAATTAATATATCTTTTCACATGTAATTAAATGTTATAACAAATGATTTAAAACAAGGATCCACTTATATATATATTTATTTATTGATCTTTCATAAAAGATACCAATCTAACAATAGGGGCAATCCCAAATGTAAATAAAAATAAATAGAAATTCAAACTATTACATTGATTTGTATGATCAGAAAATCATTAACATTACATGAACATCAAATGTATATATATTTTGTGTAGCAAGTGAAAGGAAAAAAAAACGTGAAGAAGAATAAAGAAATGAAAAAAAAAAAACAACCCTAGACCCTTTCAAAAACACCAACTCTATGACTTCTTTTGAAAACCACACAGGTTGCTCGGGCGCTGTATGCAAGAACTTGGCCACTTGAGTTACCTCGTGTAATCTCCTTCATTAATATTGTAACCTGAACACTCGCTTGAACACTACGAGAGTTATGAGCTTGTGATGGAAGAAATATTGTTGAGCACGGTGATGGGTGCCATCAATGGCCTGGGCCACTGTGGCTGGGACCAGAATAAGCTCTTCTTATACTAAAGCCGGCCTTTATAGACAAAGAAGAAGAATCCTGATCATTTAGGAGTCTTGAGCCCTCAGCATGCAAAGAGTTTAAGAGCAACATAAAGAAGATGAAGATCAAAAGGAGATTGATAACTTGTATAAGATAGCCCGAACTCATTTTCTTTTTAGCTGCTTTGATAGATGGCTTAGGCCTCGACGATGTTCAAATATGACATAGGGGTTTGCAATGTCAAGCGTAGAGTTATATATCTAAAGGTGGTAGGAATTGGGAGCCATTGCATAGTTTGTTTGACCTTTGTAATTTGTAACTCAAAAGCCAACGGGTACATTTTTCAGAGGTTTGAAATCTGGGTGTCGGATTGGCATAAAAAAGCTGGGGTGTTGAAAACGTATAACCCACGGTTTTGACTTGTGAGATTTTCTTGGAGATGGAATATGAATAAGCCAAATTGTTAGACATGCGGGAATAGAATTAAAGGTTGGTGAGCCATGTTTAGTATATTTAAAGAATTTTTATTTAATGCATCATTAATATATAAATTTTATATGTTATCAATATATCAAATAATTAAATCTCATTAATAAACAAATATTAATTTTTAAAATAAATATAAAAATTAATATATTTTTAAATTTATTTATTAATAAAATATTATTATCTAATTCATTTCATTAATGAAACTGATAATTTAATTTTGTATATAAAATCTATACACTTATAGTCCATAAATATAAATTCATAAATTCATATGTTAGGAATAATGGTTTGGACTTTAACATTTTCAATGCCTCTATTCCTCACTCAAACCTACTCCCTCTGTGCCCGCCATCTTCCCTTTCACATTAGTCAAAAACCTCATAAATGTAAACGAGCTTGCCGATCTGTAGGGCGAGTGAATTTTTTTCATGGGAATATTTGTTGTTTGAAGTAGATGGGTATGAAACATAAACCCAATTTTTTCCCAAAGCAAATAAAATCTCCTCAACCTTGTCTGCTAGTATCTATGAACCTCATCACTGAACTCGAATTAATCGTATGTTTGTCTTCAATGAGGGCACAAATAAATTCAATGCGCTTTCAGGGATGAACATCAGATTCACAAACTTTTTTACAGGATTTAGTACTTTTCAATGACGAGAGCTCGCCTACTCAATTGACAAACTAGACCAGTGACGTGCCTAATGTGGCACGCCAAATCACCAAAACACGCAATGGCGAAGCCATAATTACAGAAGAAAATAACTTTTGCTAAGTAATTTTTCAAGGAACAGCATTGGATATGAACAGAAGCCAGGATTTCCACCACTTATGTGGGTGCGGGTGGGTGAGCCACTTGGGTCAAGCCCCAGGTACAGCAGATAACTTGGGTTGAATTGAATTAGTCCATCCTCCAATGCTGGGGAACTCCGAACTCCTGTGAATGTTTAAAGTTGAAATTGTTAGAATAAATTCGGTTACTCATCGAGCAGAGGTTTCATACACCAAATCAGATGGTCACTGTTTCATGTTTTAAAGAATAATTCAAGGGGCTCTTATATTTAAAACATATAAAAGAATGCCTAGTGATGAATGTGCTTCCAAAATATATGAAATAATTTTACAGTCCTGTTAAGCAATAAGTTACCCAGGTCCAAGAAACACAAAATGCACCTCTAAGCAAGGTGGCCGGGAAGCATTCTCGAGCTTGTATCCAAGTTTCTTTGCCTCTTGATAGAACAATGGGATAGATCATTTTGATGAGTAAAACACCACTTCATCAATCATTGCTCATTGCATATCCTGAAGTTAGTCTGTTCTCAAAGTATTAACAATGCAATTTAGAAATCCGGTACCTACCAACATTTCATATTTGACCAGATTAATCGAGATAACAAAAATATTGATCTTCCCCCACAAAGAGAAAAATATTTCTATCAGCCATTTTTTTTTACAGATATCCACGATGCAGATTAAAGCAATCATATGAACGAATTCTCTCCAGAGATCCACCCTAATCTACAAGCACATGAATCTTAGCGAATGAACTCACAAAGCTGAACACAAAGGCACTCCTGAAAGGCTTGCTTCCAAAGGCTTCAGTGTTTGGTATTTAAGCACCAATAAAACTTCAAGCAGCACACGCAAAATGAAAAGATCCCAAATCAAATCACTCATGATCTGGGTGCTAACCAACCATCCAGAATCTGTTGTTACCTCAAGAATCACTAAAAGCTCAATAAGGAATCACGATCCTGTCAAAGATTTTGGAAAATTCAAATCAAACTAGTTACCTTGTGTAGCACTCTTTGTATCCAATCAAAATGACTCGAGGGAAAGTTTTGGAGCCATTTAGATCACCAAGTTTAATTGATGGTGCCCAGTTTCAACAGCCCAACTCACACAAAAGAATTGTAGGAAAAAAATGAGAAAGAAAGTTACCACTTAATTGCATACAGAGAGAATAAGAGCAGAGATAGTTTAACAGTATTATGATTATTATGATTAGACAATCTGTATCAAAGCTATAATGACAAAAGAAGAGATTAGACAAAGAAAAATGATAAAGAAATGCTAATGATTTAGCAGAACATATGTCCTTTAGACTCCGAATGTGCTGTGGATCGAGCACAAGATACTTTGATGAGGCTTTACCAAATGTAGTTTTAGAACATGAACAAAGCATGTGAAGAAAAACGGTAAATTAGAAAACAAAACAAGACTGATCAATGACACATCACGTTGATCAATTACCTATAAGAAAAAATTAACCTATAGAGATGCATAAGAAAAGCTGTGTCAATGGACATGGAGTGAAGTCCACACCTATTGAACAGGATATTTATATTAAAGGCCAGCCAGATTCACGATAGAAAATGCTAGAGTGGAAATGTATATAGTTGGAGAGTGCTAGTGTCACGGGTCGAGACTTAAGCTCTGAACCCGCGCGGTTCCGGAATCCGGACATCCACTTATTCGGTGTCCTAGATTAGCCTACCTGCCACGGTTCACACCTTTGTGAGGTATTGTCCGCTCTGGTCCCCTGGCCTCATGGTTTTATCCTACAAAAGGTACCTCACAAGGCAGAGGTGGTGCGAACCCTTTTATACCCCAATGACCCTTTTATTATGTTCGATGTGGGATTCAGGACTCTTCCTTAGGTCCGTGACATTCTCCCCCACCCAACCTCGTGACGCCCTCGTCACGGAGGCTGGCCACCCTGCCTACCTCCCTCGAGGTACTTAGCGTGGATCGAACGATTTACGACTGGCTCTGATACCAATTGTCATGGGTCGAGGCTTAAGCTCCGACCCGCGTGGCTCCGGGACTCGGGCATGCACTCATCCGACATCCCAGATCAACCTACCTGCCACGGTTCATGGTCTTGTGAGGAGGAGAGTGCAAGGACTTTAGACTGTTATATATTTTTAAGTTATCAAAATTAGAATGTAAGCTTGCCTATAAACCATGGAATCACAAGCTACACAGCGATGAAGTGATTAATGTCTTTCTTGATTTTCTTAAAGTGCAAAAGCTGAATGAAGGATCAATGTTGACATCTAAAGAGTCCTATGTATAGTGGCACTACTTGTTTAGGCAGAGCCAACAAAATTAATAAGCTGAAGAATGTCATATATGGGAGAATTGCACTGCATTCCAACTTGGTTGAGCTCAATCACCCCAGTCACCAAAGGGAATAATATAGTTAAATGACACCGAAATATAAATGCCCAATCAGTCAATGTGTGCCAGCTGGACAGCTATATATTTTTAATCAATGTTTTGAAACCTGAACTCAAACATCATTTTGATGTTTTAAACAAAATGATAAATATAAAATCTACAACCAACAAAAAAAAATCGTAAAACTATAAAGTAGTATACATACATAAAGGAACAAGGACAACAACAAATAGTACTGTGGAAAATCTAAGAAATAAATCAGTGTAGATACTGAATGTATGTTGGAAAATTGCTTATTGAAAATTATACAAGAATCTTAGGTTTATATACAACTAACTAGGGGTTAAACTAGAAAACTAAATCCTCCTAAAAAACTAATCTTATAATTGAGGGATTGTCTATCCTAATTTTAGGGATACAAATACTTAATTTTAGAGATACAAATATAAATATACAGATTACAAAATTACAACTAGCTGTAAATAAGTGTTTTCCCACACTCCCTCTCAAGCTGGAGAATAGGTGTTTTTCATTCTCAGCTTGAAAATAATTTCTTAAAATGTTGCACTACTGAGACCTTTAGTCAACACATCTGCAAGTTGACCCTTGGTTGATACATAAGGTGTACAAATCAACCCACTGTCTAGTTTCTCCTTTATGAAATGTCGGTCTACTTCAATGTGTTTTGTTCTATCATGTTGCACAGGATTGTGTGCAATGCTTATTGCATACTTGTTATCACAGTAGAGTCTCATTAGTCAATCTCACTTGATCTTTAAGTCTTCTAGGATAATCTTTAACCATAGAAGTTCACAAATTCCTTGAGCCATTACTCTGAACTCTGCTTCAGCACTTGACCTTGCCATTACATTCTATTTTTTACTCTTCCAAGTCACAAGATTACCACCTAAGAAAGTGCAGTAGCCTGAGGTGAATCTTCTATCAGTTACTGAACCTGCATAATCCGTATCTGTATATGCTTCTAGAACTAACCTTGAATTTCTTTTGAATAAGATACCTCTCTCATGATTGGCCTTCAAATAGTATAATATACGGTAGATAGCCTGTAAGTACACTTTTTTAGGACTATGCATAAATTGACTTACCACACTCACAACATATACTATATCAGATCTAGTATGTGATAGATAAATGAGTCTTCCAACTAATCTTTGGTACATCTCTCTATTTACAGCAGCATCTTCATTAGCTTCTCTAATTTTATGATTATGATCTATAGGGGTATTTACAGGTTTACATGCAAGCTTTCCAGTTTTTTTTAAAATATTCATCACATATTTCTGTTGTGAGATGAAAATACCATGCCGTGAGTGAGCTACTTCAATTCCTAGGAAGTACTTCAATCTTTCTAGCTCTTTTATCTCAAATTTTCTAGCCAAACACTGTTTTAGAGATTCTCTCTCTTTTTCATCATCTCCAGTTACAATTATATCATCAACATACACTAATAGAACTGTGACTCTCCCTAAATCAAAGTGCTTGATAAATAATGTGTGATCTCTTTGACTCTATTTATATCTCATTGCTAGCATCACTTTGGCAAATCTCTCGAACTAAGCTCTAGGAGACTGTTTAAGGCCATATAAAGTTTTTTTCAACTTGCATACTTTGTTTGCTTCTAGATGACCTCCAAATCCCGGTGAAACCTTCATATATATTTCTTCTTCCAAATCACCATGTAAAAAAGCATTCTTTACATCAAATTGTTGAAGCTGCCAATTGTAATTTGCAGTCAATGATAACAAAATTCTAACTATATTCATCTTGGCAACTAGAGCAAAGGTTTCCTGGCAATCCACTCCATAGGTTTGAGTGTAGCCCTTAGCCACTAACTTGGCTTTATACCTTTCAACAGTACCATCTGCCTTTTATTTTATAATGAAAACCCATTTACACCCCACTGAATTTTTTTTTTAGGCAACTCTACCAGTTCTCATGTCTGATTTTTCTCTAAAGCCTTCATTTCTATTTTCATGGCTTGCCTCCATTGCTCACTAGATAATGTCTCAGATAATGTGGTTGGAATAGAAATAGTATTTAGGCTCATAAAAAAATTTTTGTAGGATGGTGAAAAATTTTCAAATGACACAAAATTAGAGATTTGGTATAGTGGATGCTTGGCACATTCTCTGGTTCCTTTCCTAATGATAATAGGTAGATCATAATCACTAGTTATAATTTTAAGAGATTCATGCTCATTTTGAGAAACAGAGTCAAAAATTGTAGTTACCTCATTTTCAGAGTTATGATCAGGTTCTTGGACTAGCACTAGTTCAGGATCTGAAACTTTTTTTCTATAATTCTTTCATAGAATCAAGAACGATATTATCCTTTATCACATCTTCCGTATTTGAAATGGGTTCAGACTCAAATTCAGTATTTGACTTGGGCTCAGCAGAAACAGGTTTCGACTCAGAAGAATTAATGGGTGTAAATGTTGAAGAAAGGGGCAAATCTAACAAAAAAAAATCTTTATCCTTATCTTCCATGAATGAAATCTCCCCTTAAAGATAAGGTTGAGTAAAAAATGATTTATTTTCTTTAAAAGTGACATCTGCAGACACAATTTTTTGATAGGAAGATGATAACACTTATATCCTTTTTGAGTTGAAGAATACCTTACAAAAATACACTTAATCGCTCTTAGATCCAACTTTCCCCTTTTATGATTATGCACATGAACAAATGATGTACAACCAAATATCCTAGGTGTGAGATTATTTGTGGTATTGAGGTTGGGATAAAATTGTGAGAGTAGTTTCATAAGAGTTTTAAATCCCAAAACCCTTGAAGGTAACCTATTTATAATATGTATGCCAGTGAGAACAGCTTTCTCCCAGTAAAATTTAGATACATTTGCTTGAAATAGAAAGGCTCGAGTTATGGCTAGTAAATGGTTGTTTTTCCTCTTTGTCACTCCATTCTGCTGTGGAGAATTAACACAAGATGACTCATGAATAATTCACTCTTTTTAAAAATAGATAGATAGACTCTGGTTGAAGTAGTCTCTTGCATTATCAGACCTAAATCTCTTGATTCTCACTCCAAATTGATTTTGAATTATATTTTGAAAGCTTAAAAATATACTATTCACATCTAATTTGGATTTAAATAAAAAATTCAAGACACCATGGTATAATCATCTATGAATGAAACAAACCATCTCGCACCAGAAATATTAAAAATTGTAGAGGGATCCCAAATGTCACTATGAATCAAGTAAAAGGGAGTAAAACTTCTTTTGTTACTGATTGAAAAAAACACGTCTATGCTTTGCAAGTTCGCAAATATCACAATAAAAATCTTCGACATTTAATCCTTTGAACAAGGAAGGAAACATGTTTCTCAAGGTTCCAAAAAAAGAATGTCCAAAACGAAAATGATAAAACCAGATTTTATCTCTATTGAAAGATTTTTCAGAAAGAAATGACAAAGGTAAACTATTCTTGATACTACTTGTGTTATCTGATGTCTCAAGATAGTATAATCTATCCTTCTCCTTAGCAAGTCTAATCATCTTCCATGTACTCTGGTTCTGAAATTCACAATAAGAGGGATAAAAAGTTACTTTGCAATTCATATCTCTGGTAAGTTTTTGTATAGATATCAAATTAGTAGACAATCCAGGAACATGAAGAACATTTTTTAGAACAAACGAGAGATTAACTTGAACATCTAATATTCCTGTCACTGTGGTAAGTGAACCATCTGCAACAATAAATTTTTTATTACTAGGACACATGTTATATGTACTAAACTTTTGTAAGAAATATGTCATGTGGTCTGTGGCTTCTGAATCAATAACCCAAGAACTCGTAATAGGCTTAACCGAGACATTTAATCCATGAGAACCGAAAGCTTTACCTGAACTAGAAACCTTACCCAAAGAACATACTATAGTAGACTTTTCAAGGATTTTCAATAAGTTTTTTAGCTTTTCAATCTCTTTCCTGTCGAACTTTCCTTGTTTCTGAGACATCTATAGTACTCCAGTGATTTTTTCAGTTAATATTTTTTCAAATTGGGTGGTAGTGATATCTTTCTTTGAAAGGGTTCGACAATGAAGGCCTAAACAGGATTCGACAATGAAGGCCTAAAAAAGTCAGCAATGAAAGCTGAAAATTTTGCTTCCCAAGAAGAGCCTAAAGCTCTGATACCATGTGAAAAATCTAAGAAATAAATCAGTGTGAAAACTGAATGTATATTGAAAAACTGCTTATTGAGAATTATACAAGAATCTTAGGTTCCAAGAATAGCCTAAAGCTCTGATACCATGTGAAAAATCTAAGAAATAAATCAGTGTGAAAACTGAATGTATATTGGAAAACTGCTTATTGAGAATTATACAAGAATCTTAAGTTTATATACAACTAACTAGGAGTTAAACTAGGAAACTAAATCTTCCTAAAAAACTAATCCTATAATTGAGGGATTGTCTATCCTAATTTTAGAGATACAAATACTTAATTCTAGAGATACAAATATAAATATATAAATTATAAGATTACAACCAACTGTAAATAAGTGTTTTCTCACAACTACAAAAACTTTTATCCTCTTCCACAAAGGACAACCTCAACAAAGTACAAGTACATACCTTCTTAGAAGACGAAAACACATAGATCTCCTCAATATTTGCTACTATTTTAAGTTTAATATACTCCATGAGAAACTCACTGAAGCTGTGAACAGCTTCACTCCAAGTATCACATTTTGCATCTAAAGGATGTAGGGATTCAACAAAAGTGCATTGCAGTATTGAAGATAAACTCTCAGCTGGCTTTGCTTTGTAATACATGACAGTGACTTTGAACTTATTAATCCACAGTTGAGGGATTTCCAATCCAGAGATTGTTGCTCAACCCAGACTCGGTTGATCCAGTTTGATAGCCAATAGTCTTGATGCCTAAACGATGATGTAAATTATCGGTATTAGGGTGCAGGGAAGAGATTTCTTGCTTGCTGTGTGCAGGAAGCAAGTCAAATAAGTCAGTTCTCAATTCCTCAGGCAACTGCAGTAACATTGACATGTCTAGCTGTCTTAGAGACGAAGGCATTAAAACATATTTTCAAGTCCTGGAATGGAAATGGCAACAATATTGGATCCTGCCCCAGAGTCAGGCACTGTCTGCAGTTCCTCCAATATATGTTGTTTG